CCGAGGGCGACACCACCAGCGCGTAGTCGCCCAGGGAGCCCGTCTGTCCGTGGAACATGATAGATTGGCGGCCGTTCTCGTTGAGACACCCCGGGTTGCTCACGGCGACGGACTCGCCGCAGCCTTCCGAGCATGCCTTGTCGTTGCAGAACTGCGCCCACAAGTCGAAGTCTCTGGTCGTGACGTTGCCTTGGTCGGTGCGGGGAAGGACGGCGGGGCCGGCGATGGCCTGGCTGAGGGACGCGGCGAGAGCGGTGATGAAGAAAGTGGTGGAAAGCATATTGGTGAATGAGGTGGTCTGGTTGGGTAGTGTGGTTGGTTTAGCTTGTGAGGTTGGGTTATGCTTTGAGGGGGGAAGACGATGGGCTTTATATACCCGAGGAAAATCTTAATTTGACTAGCTTTACCTTGTTCGCTTGACGCTCGTCCCAGTCAACAGTAAGAATGGTGGAGTTTTTTTCAACGCCTCCAACGCCTTCTACAAGGTCAGCTCCACACTCCACATTGCTGTGGCATAGCTATCACAGCGGAGGTTCCAACCGATTCTTGCCAAAACATGATCCGGTAAGTGCGGTGTTGAATCCTAAAAAAAGTCAATTCAAAAGGGCAAAGTGAAACTGCCCTTGCCGTCAGTCGGGCGTTTGGCGAGTAGCTCGAGTAAGTCAAATGAGCAACAGCCGGCTGCGTTTGAATCATCTACGATGTAATAACATCAATGCATTGTGGAGCACTTTTTTATTTCGCTGATAGCTTTCAGGTTGACTTTCGCCTCAGCGGCGACCTCGCTTGAGTCAAGTGCCGTGGGCTAGACCACAGCTAGTCGGCAATGTATTGTGGAGCCCTCTTAGTCGGCTGATACAATTCCGGGTTGAACGGAGACGCCTCCGTTTCAAGTTGACTTCATTATTTCTCGCTTCGTCAACCGCCCCAAGGTGGAGTACGACCGACCTTGTCAGCCGCGGTGAATCCTCTCGGATCTTGGATATATCGAAGTCAAATCTTTGGGACCGCGCAAGAACAGTGCAAAGAAACCGACCAAATAATGTCTTGCATGAACTGAAAGTGCTTTTCCAACCACAGGACTCGGGCACTGTCAACCCAAGGCTAGGAGAATGTCCATGAAGGAGATCCGAAGGCAAAAGGAGTCCCGTAGCGAACAAAATCTGGACTCCATTCAGGAACGAATTTTCACCTGCCGTGACACATAAGTCGACCAAAGCGTGGGCCGACTGCGCAATGAAGGGCCAGGCAGTGTTTGCATTGACGAAGGTACCTCAAGTGGATTGCAATAGGCGCTTGCCGTGAAAGAAGCCGGTTGACTTGGAGCAACGCCCTCGAATTGCATTGCGTTAATCAGACTGATGTAAAATCCTGTTATTCTGATTGAGGGAGAGGATCGGGAGATAATACATATGTGTCCGCTAGGTCCTGCATTTCTAGACAGCTGCTGCGCGACGGATGTCGTGAACTTCCAGTGATTCTTTTCCCGCACGCGTGCCGACGGTGCAGTTCATATACCGCGCGAATACATCGGGCTCGAAGAAGACCGGGGAGATGGATTTGTCGCGAGGCTCAAGTTCCTACTATAGTTAGTATCATAATATGAACGAGACAGTCAACGCACCCCCGGGACATCCTCCGGCACATCTTCCATCGAAGGCTATGATCCATACCAATCCGTCAGAACGACATGAGAGGTACCAGAAGACACATACCGCGCCCTTATTCTTCCTGGGGACCATGAGAGGCAGGTTCGACGCATGATCGGTAATAAAAAAGTCTGTGAGAGTGGTATACGCACCCCCCAAATCATACTCGTAAATCACACCCATCTCTGCGTTTCCGCACCCTCCCCCACTGGCGTTCTTGCGCAGCTTCGGGTTCCACACCTGTGAGACGAGCAAATCCTGGTCCTCCACGCGCTCTTCCGCGTTATCAATGTCCTCGAGCGGGTGCCACTGAATACCATGGCCCTTCACGACGACGTCGTACTCCGCGACCTCGGTGCGCATGATGTCAGTGTCGTCCAGGAGCGCCTCCCTGCCGTAACGCTTGATGTGGCCCGCCTTGCGCCCGGAGGACGCGTACGTCTCAACGAACGAGTACACGCGCGCCTTGTGCACGTGCATTCCGTGCCAGCCAAACATGAAAAGAATCAGCTTGTACAGCGTCGCGAAGCTGTAGTTGAGCGGGACCTGGACGACGCGGGAGACACCGTGGCAGTTCTCGAGTTGGAATCGCAATTGGACGAAGGAGGTTGTGGGTGGAGGAAGGGTGGTGTATGGATTATCGGGTGAGGGACGGTAGGCAAGACATTGGCTCTCGCCCAACTCCATTCCTGGGCGGGCTTTCTCCCTTCGCGCGATATCGGCGGCGGTGAAGCCTGGGCGTTCTGCACGACGTGTGGTCGTGGACTGAGAAGTAGACATGGTAGAATGAGAGAGAAGTTGTGTGGCTGTGTGGTGGTGGATGACTGTGGAGCGGTGGAGCCCGTCGCGTATCACTTACGTGTGTCACACGACACGCTCTGTCACATTTCATGCAGTCGTGACATCACGCGTTCACTCAATTGGCAATGTCCGATTATTAATAATAATAATTACGTCGCCGCCACCCCCTACGTGCGCTGACTCCCAAACGTGATGTTTCAATCTCACCATCTCTCCCCGGAAAGACGTTCCCGTCACGCCGGGATGTCCCGGTTGATTGGGTCTCGCTTAGAACTGGCTGGCGACGAGTCGTAGTTCGATTGGTCTAATTACGTTACCTCCCGATCGCATCAATTCTGGGCGCTCCGGAGCGGCATGGGCTGCCGTAACGTCTGCCGCTGATGCCGCGAATACAAAGACGGAACAAAGACGGCTGAAACCCAGGAAAAAATCGGAGGGCTCAGAATTTTGTTGGAAAAGTGCTGCAGACTACACTCTGTACCTATGGTTATGTCAGGCTTCCATTTTATCCTTTTATTCTGTCCGTAAAGCCACCCCACGGATAATAACCATCACAGATTGACTCGTTGAGTGAGAGTACCAGGGCCGTTGGACCACAGCCCTGATAAAGCCACAGCCAGTGAAAAATGACAAGTTTCAACTGCATTCTAATCCTCTCGGCTTACAAACAGGATGCCCTGTATAATGAGCCGGCCCTTTCATTTAAATCCCTGAGTGCCGAGTCGTTCACATTTGGCTCCGGCAAACCTAATAGTGTACAGTTACCCGTCATAGTTGGTGCTCCATCTTTCTATATCCTTGCGATATATGGAGTACATATATATTGAAATGTATACCTGGGCATCTCTGTATCACTGTCGATTTTGTTGTTCAAGTTCAACTTGAGTTCAACGAACTTCAACTTCAACCAAAGTTCCTTGGATTCTGGCACAATTATGGATTGCTGGAAGGCAAGGATAGAAGCAGCCCAAAAGGCTTTGATACTCCGAGCCTTCTTGCCTCCTCCTCCTCGCTCAGAAACAACTTAGGCTCCATTCGGCGACAGTTATTTAGCGTGATTTAGCGCTCCTTTGCGTCACTTGGCGTCAAAATCAAGCGGGTGGAGTAACGCTAAATGACGCAAAGTACCACTAAATAACGCCTGCCGAATGGAGCCTTACTTTAATACTTGCGAGCTTGGCCGGAGCCTTGCCGTGGTGCCGCGCCGGCAGTCACGTGCATTCCCTTTCGGGGAAATCTAATTAGACCAATCGAATAGTTCCTCCGACTCGGTGAGCCGCGCCATCAATTCTCTTGTCACCGCCCCGCCATCACTCACTGCCGGAAGCCAAAAATGTCCGGGCCTGGATTTGCTCCGGGCTGGGACACTTTCTGGCCTGTCACGACCTCCCGAGTAGTGTTGTTCGGGTCGGGTCGGGCCTGAAAGCCCGGGCTTGGGTCGGGTCGGGGTAGGGTCGGGCCTGGAAAATATCCTGAGCCCGACCCTAGGCCCCAGGTCGGGTCGGGTCGGGTCGGGCTTGGGCCTGAGCCCGGGCTTGAGTGCAGTTTTTTGAGCCTTCATAGAGTGAATTTTTTCGAACATGAACACATTGTATAACCTATCCTTGACCTCATGTACCCTGTTTCCTTTGCTCAGCGGTCAGAATTCGGCTTGAGCCCAAGCTTCAAGCCCCCTCAAATTTATAAGGCAATTTCTGTTCGACTATCTAGCCTCGGACATCCTGTTGAAATAAATGTTAGGTGAGCACCACAGTAAAATCCACATTGTACATCTCAAAGTCACCATTGAAGCATTTTTTTCCTCCCCCAAAGTCGGGTGGATAGGGTACACGAACTGACCCGGGCCCAAGCCCGGGTCGCGGGTCTTGAAAAATCTCAGGCCCGACCCCAGGCCCGACGCAAACCAGGGTCGGGTCGGGCCTGGGTCGGGCAGGGTCGGGTCGGGCTTGGGTCGGGCTTGGGCCTAAGCCCTGGCCCGGGACATCACTACTCCCGAGAAGTGTCTCTGTCGAGGTCTGGGAAGAAAGGGGACAGTTAGCATTCTCTGGATCCTGTCCGAAGTCCGGGAAGATTGGATGCTGTCTTGACGCGGGACAGGCTGAGTTCCCAGACTCCGGACAGAGTCAGGATTCAAACACAAAAAAAGGAGGAATCAAAAGTGATAGATTCGAGCAGATTTGGGCGCAGGGAGTCGAACCCCGGATGCGAGATACTCGGGTTCGCGCCGAACGAAATCAGAATGAGAGCAAAAGCACAGAAAAGTTGTGGCGTCCACGAGCTACCCATTCAGGCGCGGGGAGTCGAACCCCGATCTGCGAGGTACCACGGTTGGGCTGTATTGACTCAATAACCCCCGCAGTGTGCCGCACACCACGCCCGATGTCTGACTTTGTTGATTCTTGTGTGAAGGAGAATTGTAAAAATTGACCTGATCAGGAGTCATTCAAGGAGGGGGATCCAGCGAGCTAGATTGCACCTTGGGGAAAAACCATTCTCAACCAGCCAACTTCGGCGTAGAACAGGCAAAAAAGGTAGGTATGCGGAAACACGTCCGAACGCGGGGAGTCGAACCCCGGACTGCCAGCCACAACGGTCGCTCGAATCCATCACAGCCAGCCGTGTTCCGTACACTACGCCCGATTATCCGACCCGTTGACTCCTGTATGCAAAAGGTGCTGGAATAAGCCGAAGACTATTAGCAGACAACGCAGGCAGCGCAGTTCCAAGATGGCCGATTGAGTTGAGAGGAACGAAATACAACGAGTTTTACCAGTGAAGTGGTTCATGAGATTCGGCCGGGTTCGTGTGACGGTAGAAGACATTTGTCCAGGAGCCAATTTTTCAGGGTGGGTTGGAGTTGATTGATTGAGATACCATAGTATTTCGTTCAAATCGAACCCCCGTGTGACGCGTGACATCTTTGACCAATTTGATACCTCGATAAACGGCGGTTGGGTGCCTGACAGGGGTGAAAAATTCGATAATTGGCGGAAAGGCTGCAGTGTGTCTTCGTGAGCAATTAGTGCCAGCAGTCTCTCCACATAAAGCCGGGAGTTACAACACCTTGAAAGATTTTTATTATCAAGTTTTATTCCGCCAATCTTGAACCCGATTTGAGCCAGAAACTCTTTTGCAACACTTCGTAAACATCGAAAATGAAGGAAAGGCGGTGGCTTTGCCTTCTTGATACCTGCAAAGACTCACAAAGACACTTTTGATTTTATTGGCATTTTACGGTCATTTTTTGAACCGTGAGACCAATTCGACATTGGCCTGGGTGTGACATCGACCTAATTTCGATATCGATAGGGGAGTGCGTGATGCGTGACTATCGATTTGATCGTAACATCTGGAAAACACCACATGCCTATGTAGAGCTATGTAGGTGCCAGTAGGGCTGTAGACGGAGAGGCATGTACCCCCGATCATAGACGCATGTAGACAGGTAGACGGATAGAGCCATAGAGCCATAGAGCCACATAGATCTACATAGATCGCGTGACTCTACAGGTAGCGATGGTTCCTATGCAGGCAGTCGCCAAGTCTGCCTCTTTCGGATGCTCAGATGCTTGCTTGGTGCATTCCGAATCGTGGTGAATAAATAAATAAATAATCATTTGAGGACTGTAGACTAGATACTACAATTAAGAGAAGACGTGCATCGGGAACATAGACTGCGCTGGCTGCTCCGGCTCCTCGGATGTATCAGTTAATTTCCTGCCAAATGCTCAGTGAGAACCTATTAACGAGAATGATGCGCATACCGGGCGTTGGTCAGCAATTCCCGAAGCCGCTCTTTCGCGATATTACCAGAGTACACATCCTTTTCGAACTCAGCTATCCACTTGTCGATAAACACCAACGACACTTGATAGACGGGCCGGTAGACGTCGGCGTCAAACGAGTTACCCTTCGTCTTATGATCGCCGGTCTTCCATCTGTTGAAACTGCAAACAATCTAAAACCCAGCGTCAGTTCGGCGACAGGAAAGAAGAATCTGGGACTCACCGCAGCCGTCATTAGCGCGAAGGTTGGCTTGGGTAACGATCGAAGCTTGGCGAAGTAATGTCGGCGGTTGTTGATCCCGTCTTCGGCGAAAAAGGCAGCGTTGAGCAGCTTCTGGAAAATGGAGTGGAAGCAGATCGTGGCGAGATCTGAAATGTCGTCGGGATTCTGGACAGTGACATGAGCATGTGGACGGCCATCCGAGGGAGGACCACGACGACACACCTTATACATCCACTTTCCGTCTATTCCTGTAAGCTCTGCGACACGGTTTCGATTGGCTTCGCGCACTTCCGCGATCTTCTCCGGGGTGGGGTCCTCTAATGAGTCTATCCTCTTGAAGCCGAAGCACGTGTGCACCAAGGTGTCGGCTTGAGTGACAATGTTTCCACGGACTTGCGAGAAGCGCGAGCGGACCTGGCGTATCTTCAGTACATCAGGAGCAGAATTGGAACTGAAAACACTCACCAGCTTGATCTCGTCCGGTGTCAAATCATCGAAGTCGTCGGGATCAATACCGAGGTGTTCGAGGGCGTCACACAGGGCGGCCTCGATGATGTCCTGGGACTCGTCGTCTTCTGCGGCGGGGTCCCCTGACTCGCTAGCGATGGGAAACGGGGTCTCAAGGCAGATGGCCTCCTTCGTGTAGCTGTACATCACCTCGATGACACAGCGGCGATTCTTGTCGACTTGGTGGATACTGCGAGACTCTCGCTTGCGGTTCTTGCGTTTCTTGCGAGACTGCTTTTGAGAAGGCCGCGATGGCTCGGGGTCATCGGCGTCGGAACTCGAGTCCGTCTGAAATATATGATGAGTCTCGGGCCTCGTAAAGGTAGAAAACCATACCCGGGCAACGCGCTTGCGCTTCAGCTTCTTCCGTCGGACCTCGACATCATGCATCTCGACCTAGGCGTAGCAGGATGAGAGAGCCGACCCTCTGTATGAGAAAGGTCTCACATGGAGCGAGCTCTGAGCATTCTGGTGGGATGCAGCTCCGTGCGGTTCGTCTTCGCCAGGGCCATCGTCCGGTGGGCTGATCCAGGGCCTCTCCGGTGCTGGAAATGGTCAGTGATAGTAAGGTGACAGGTATCAGTACGTACCGTCGCTGTCAAGATCTTCATCGTCGTCGTTGGCACCGAGACGAGCACCACCGCCAGTGACGTCAAAGGAGCGGACAGTACCGTCGAAAGACTGGAGGCTGGTAAACATGGTGGCTGGGTTAGCTGGATCATCGACGTATGTATCAGGTTGCCCAGCCGGCGACGAGAACGGCGGCGGAGCTGAAAAGGGACGGCGTCAGTCTCCATTTTAAGCTGAAATAGGTATGGATAACTCACCAGGCATGGCCAATGCTTCATTCATCATCATCGTACGTTGCTCCGGAGTCATCCTTTCCAGCATCCGCTGGATATCCATGGCGTCTGCGGGTACAGAGTATGCGTCCGAGCTGGGAGGGGTAGAGCTGAACGGTTGAGAACGTTGGGGCTGGGGCTGTGGAGGATAGCTGGGGTAGGCCGGGGTATAGTTTTGAGGGACCAAAGATAGTCGTGTTGTCGCAGGTGATGGTAACGAGAATGAATGGGGAGTGGATGGGGGTAGGGATGGCTGCGAACGATTGGCAGGAGTGGGGCGTGGAGCGTGGGACTGGAGGTGCGGTGGTGGTGGAGCCGCGAACGGTGTCTGTTGCGCAAAACTTGAGTGCGGAGTCGCCGTAGTCGCCGCAGCGGGCAGCGGTGAATTTTGGATCGTAGTCGATGTGAGAGGGCCAGCGGCGGACCTCCTGCCGGGCACAGTGCCGTTTTGCTGGCGGGTATCGTGCGCCCTGAACGCCTTCTTGCGATTTTTTTCCTGTTGCTCCACTGCAAATCCCGAAGTAAGAGCGAATCGACTTGGGTCAAGAAGGAACAGAGCGTACTGTGGTTTTGGAGGCCTGCTGTAGGTCTGGCCTCGCGTTCACCCCTGCCTGTGCGCTCGGGTCGATTGGGGTTCGGGGGAAACTGGATGGACATTGAGATGGGAGTCGGGAAGCAGAAGATCGGACTTACAAATATTGCCCCAACCACCTGGAAACACAAAACGTGGTGATGCGTGACGACGGCAGTGATGCGCAATAGAAAAATTGTATCCGAGACCTTCACTTGCATTACCATGGCCATCTGCGCATTTTGCAAGACAACATTCGGGAATAGCAGTCTGGTACGGCGACACCAGACGCAAACACCAGCCTGCAAAAGCCAAGCCGAAGCGAGGATGGGAGTTAGGCTCTCATCTCTTACGTCGCGAAGGCACTGCGAGTGCGGCGCGGTCGTCAGAATTGCCGAGCGCTGACGACCTTTCCGCCATGCTGGATGACATTCCATTGGAGGATGCGCTCCCGCCGCAGCAGCCAGTCGACAGTTCCTCGGATGAACCTGACCAGGATGCATCCAGTCCTGCGCAGCCGCCGAGAGCGCCTCCAGGTGTTCGCCCGCAGTACCACAGGACTCCCAATGAGGCTCTATTGGCCGGGGCAGTGCGCGGCCAGGGAAAAACAGACTTCGAACTCATACGGGATAAGGAGGTCTTGACACCCGGAGTAGTGCTGGGGCCTTTTCGCGACGACGATGAATGGCAGCTTGCCAAATGGCTGATCAAGAATGTCGGGCACACGGCGACCGAAGAATTCTTGAAATTGTCCATTGTGAGTGATGTTATTGACACGAAAGCAATAAACTGACAAGTTCTGCGTCGATAGATCAGTGATCGCGCCAAACCATCGTTCGGAGGCAAGAAGGACTTCTTTGAGAAAGTCGATAGTCTTCCCGGTGGTGCCAAATGGCATTGCAAGGTCTTAGACACTAGGGGCGACCTCCCCGACTTGGATAAGGACCCTACCGGTCAGACCATGCGCCGCGAGCAGAGCGAGCTGTGGTTTAGGGATCCCGTAGAGTGCGTGCGTGAACTGATTGGAAACCCGGCGTTCAGTCACGCCATGCGATACGCTCCGGAGCAGTTGTATGAAGACAGTGAGGGGACCAACGAGATTGTGAACGAGATATGGACCGCGAGTTGGTGGTGGGAGATCCAGGTAAGCCACGTCGAGCACAACGTAATCAAGTCGAACTTACAGATCCCGAGTTAGCTTTCGCTGATCTGTGAAAACTCAATTAAGAAGCAGAGTGCACCTTTTCTCATATGTTAGTGTGTATCTGATATGCATATGATGCACTACAATGCATTTAGCCGGTTTTTCATCATAAAGGTTGGAAGGAAGTTGAGGAGATTTCGCTAAGTTGAGGTGTCGTAACCACCGGTCTTAAGAGTTGCCGGTCATCACGTGGTGTTGGTTGATGCCTCTGTTTGAAAAACGGTCAACACCTGTCAACAACTCTTCTTCCTTTCTCCCCCATGTCGCCCTCCCCTTCCCCCACGCTCAGTCCTCTCTGCGGCCCAACAGCCTCGCACTTATTGCTCATCTCTTGCCAAGGTTCGTTCCTCGCAAGCTATTACAGCTTCTCTCGATGATTCAGACTTTCTGTGTGCAGCTGCTCGTCGACGCGTGGCATCGTCATGAGTGGGATATTGGGGAATCTAGTGATGTGAGCCCTACTTCCGTGTGAGGGATGACCTCGCGAAGTATACGTGAGTTTACATCC